CGCACGGCTTAAAGTTGCTGAGGTTGAGAAACACTGCTCTAGAGTCTTCAGGATATAGAAATTTGAACATACCAAACCAGTGGGAATGAAAGGAAGGACCACAGGGCCTATAAAGGTTTCTCCTCATAATGAGAGAAACTGGGGAAATGAAAAATATCTCCTTTTAAGGAGACTAGCCCTCCCCAACTCAGCTGTTCTCCAGGAAGGTGAACATGCTCCTCAGCAATGGCTGTGCTGGCTGTGGAGTTCTGGGAGTTGAAGTCCACACCACTGAAGGATGCTCAGTTGGTAAAAACTTGCTGGGAGAACAGGAAGATAAATGATGCTGAGTCAGGGTTACTTAGGAAAGAGTGGGGCAAGGTCTGTAATTCTCTGAATCTTCCCCCTTTAGGGTCTTAGCACCCATGTCACGGATGGAAGCGCAATTTGTTCAGCGCCAGGCTCCACCATCTTATGGGCAGCTCATTGCTCGTGGTGTTATTCCTCCAGTAGAAGGCTTCCCAGTTGAGCATCCGAGTCAAGTAAGTAATTCCAACACTCTACACTTACTTATTCTCCTCAAGACCAATCTCAGAAAAGCGTTGGTTCCCTCCCCATCTTCCTTCCTTAATTTCCTATCCACATTTCCTGTGGTTCCTAAAGAAGCTCTAACATCTTTTTGTGGGTCAAGTCCTTCCATGAAATTATGTCTGAAGAGCAGGATGTATCTTATTCTGAAAAACAAAATGGCTGTGGGGATTCCAGAGCCATGGTCAGGAAGCTTCTATATGATTTGACCAATCAGAAAAGTGCCTGGAAAGTGACCCTTTAATTAAGTGAAAGAAAGACCAAAAGGTGGAGATTGAGGAGCAACATCTCAAGAGGTTTGTGGGGCAACGGAAGACAAGAATGCTTGAGTGATGCGTAACAACACAACTCCCAATAAGCATTCATCTTCTTGAGGGCCAATTGGTCAATTTTTGTGACGTTCTTCACTTGCTGGTGTTCTTAAGAGGTCATCAGACATTTTGGGTCCCTCTCATGAGGCCCCCAAACCTGAATAAAATCCTCCTTCTTTTCATGGTCTTCTATAGGCCCTTTTAAAAGTGTTTCTTTTAACCATAAGGGACACCAAACCAAAGTCATCACCTCTGAAGTTTCTGCCAGGGAGAAATAGGACTAGTTCAATGGAGAATTCTCAACTTCAGCCTCCCTCAACCTGTGGGGACGTGTATACTTGGCGTTTGAGAAGCTGAAGATCTGACTTGAATCTGTGCTCACATTTGCCTTCCTCTCGTTTCAGAATTCGGTCCTGGGAAATTTGCGTGGTCTGCTGCATTTGTTGCGGCGGGCCCCCGCCAGCCGTCCTGGTGCTGGTGGGGGCCGTCGCTCTCATCACAGCCGCTTCTTACGACGTTTAACGAGGCGAATGCGCCGGTTGGGGCTCCTCCCTCGCCCAGCCAACCCTGCCTCGTCTTCCACGGCGGCTGCCATGACCACCCCTGGCTCGTCTTCGCCTTCTGCTCCTGATGACCTGGCGTCTTGTGGGAATGAAGATGCTTCTTCCCATCTTCCAGAAGACCAGCCCCTGCCTCTTCCGCAGAAGGTCCCACCAACTCCTGCAGAATCCACACCGGAGGCTCAAGTCCCACGTCCTGCTCCACGGTTTTCAGGGGTGATGCACAGCCTCCGAGTTCGGCTCTTCTCCCCCACGCCCACCTGCTCTGCCGAAGCTGGGGAGGACCCCCTGAACACGTCTCCATCTCTTGATGACGAAGATGATGTGCTCCTCATTCCTCTCACCGACCCGCAACTCCAGAGCCTTCACGCCACCACAAGCTGGGATGCTGACGATGAGCCCCTTCTGACTTGAGAAATGTTGCTGGACATTGCCTTTATGAAACGTGTAACCAGTGATAGACGACAGAGAGTCAGGCATACTTTTTTTCCCTGCAGATCCCCTTCCTTCCACAAGTCTTTTTTTTTTTTTGGCATGTGAGAAATGAAAGAAATCCTTGGCCATTTAGAAAAACAAATCTTTAAAAATGATTTCCTCTTCTTGGCATTTGACCGTCAGAATGGTCTGATTTGGCCCTTGAAGTCCGCTTCCCTTGCTGATGTCCGGAGGATTGCAGAAATCTCTTTGGCTCACCAGAGCAGTTGTTTTCTGGCCTCTTAAATCCTGATTTTTAGAAGGGATGATTCTCTTCTGAAATTGCAATTTTTGATCTCAAGCAAGAACTTACACAATTCTTTAGAGAGGTTTTGGCACTGAGATGGGGGCTTGCCTTGAAAGCGATAAAAGTACATGCACTTGACATTTTAAAAATTGTTCTTAGAAAATGAGGAGGAGGGGATGGAAACGAAAAATGTTCTTTGGAGAAACACTACAGTTATTTGCTTGACTAAAAATGAAGGAAGCGAAGATACCTGTGCAACCATCTAGAATAACCTTTAGAGACGTGGCAGCTTCTCTAAAGGGCAATAATTTTCTTTTTCCTAAAGGCAGTGGCAGCAGTGATTGACCTCCAAATTGTCTATCTCACGTGGGAACGAAATGTTTATTTTTGTGAATTTATGGAAAGGGGGAAAGCTGAAAATCTAGTAATTCCACTGGAACTATTTTTGCGATCACGTTTTACAGTGCAATCTTTTCCTAACAAATCGTTCTGTTTGCGTTCAGTGGGAGTGAATCCTAGATTTTAAAAAATCTATAGCGTTGCAGTGTTGGGGAAAGGAGGAAGGTAGAAAATGCTTTGAATCTTCTGTTGATAAATCTTTTGTAAGTAAATTATTTTTTAAAAGCACAGCCAATAGAAAAAAAAAGAAATTTTGCACATGGAATGTCCAATCAGTTGTAAATAAGCAACATTTTGTATGAAGGATAAAAGGAATCTTTTAAGGGCGGAGATCAGTTATAAATTTAGTAGTAGTAATTGCTGATTATTTCCTTCACAGTGACAAACAGGAGGCAAATATACACCCGACTACAGTGAAATAAATGTGATTTAGGCTGTTGTGAAAAGGAAAGGCTTAAATCAAAGTTAAAAGGCTTCAATCAAGTTCTTAAAGTGTTCTTAAATGAGGTTATTTCACGCCAGTGAAGTGGCAACTGGCTTTTTTCAAGCAGGTGGATCTGGATTTCAATTTCAGAATTCCCAAAAGCAAAAAAAAATTCCCCTGTAGGACTAAATGGGGTTGAAGTGGTCTGTTGCAGAAAGATATCCTACATTTGCATCTTGACTTAGATTAAATCCACTGAAATCCACGTTAACAAATTCAGCATTTTTTTTAAACAAATCTCAGCTTTGTTTACCCTAACACTGACTAGATTCAGCTCCATCTTTCTGAATACCGTCTGATTTTTTTTTTAAAAAGCGGTGCCTCGATTTTAATCATATTTTAGGCAAGAGGGGGGGAAAAAAAGGAAAGGCATAAAATCTTTGTTGAATCTCTGCCCGGTCATTTATTTACCTGTTTTTGCAAAGCCCACAGAATGCAAATCAAGCGGAACATTGCAAAATAAACTTGAAAAGGAAGTTGTTCATTCTAATTTCTCCGAGGTGGGTAGAAATGTTTGAGAAAGATGCAGGCCATTGCTGAATCAATGAGCCATTTTGCTTCTCACCGGAATAGGCAGAAGTATTGCAATCTGTTTTCTTCCTGATGCGTTTCTCGGTTGAGAAATTCATATTCTTTTTGGCTGTCCCTCCAACGCCATAGACCTGATGATCTCCAAGGGGGTTTGAGCTCTCAGAATTAGCAACCAGGTTGGAAAAAATTAGTGCTCCAATGACTATTCCCAAGGGGAAGAGATGGAGCCGGTTTAACCAAATACGCTCCGAGCTGAAATGAACCTCGCTGATTTTTTACAGCAGAGGGAAGAATGCTTCTTCCCCGTAGTAGCAAAACGGGTGCCTTTTGCATCCACAACCTAGAACAGTGCTGCTCAACCTTGGCCACTTGAAGACGTGTGGACTTCAACTCCCAGAATTCCCCAGCCAGCAATGCTGGCTGGGGAATTCTGGGAGT